TTTGACCCTGGGCCAAGGGTTGCAAAGATAAGAAGGATTTTTTCCTTTGATTTGGCAAGGGTTTGACGCCTTGGCCAAAAGAGAAATGGAACTTTAATTTGCCACAGCCGATTGAATTAGGCAAGGATGGAAGTCGAAGATAAAGCATATCCTTGGGGGAAGAAGTTACAGGATGGGTTCGGTTTAAATGGGAAAAGTGGGAATAGTGATCATATAACCTTTAACTTATTTTCAAAGTGTTTTTGGGGGGCATTTAATCAGAAAAGCTGTTAGTTAATTTGAATGTTTAGAGTTTGTTTTTAGAATACAGAATCAATCAAAAGAAATAAAAAAAAAGCAAAAGTGCAAAGAAAGTTAAAGAGACATCAATTTAGTTTAACTTTTTTATTGGTTTCCATATTTTACTTCGCAGGATTACGACTTTTTCAACCACAACAAATCCCCGTGCAATTTCTAGCTTTTTTTTACCAAACACTCCCCAGAGCCGGACAATCAAGCGGAAGTCGAACAGAGTCCCCAAAATTGGAGTATGGAATGGATTTGGGGGTTACGGATGCACATGCAGAGATAGCTTAGCTCCACACACACATTAACCATATCTATTAATGTGGGAGTGAGCCAAGGACTCCGGCGACAGGCGACAATGGGCGACCCTTCAGACAGCGGATAATAAATGACGTCGCGACAGTTTCCTTCCCACAAAACCAAAAAAAAAAAGAACAGAAACTCCTGAAATAGAAGAACTTGCTGTATCCGGCGGTGGGAGGGGGGCAGCTAAGAAAGGTTCGTGTCTAGTTCTGTGGAGGAGTGGCGGATATAGCACCTGGGTCCACTCTCGGAAAAGCGGGCACGCCACATAAATTCCAATGGTTCGCTTGCTTTCGAGGGGCTTACAAGTTTGGCAAATTTGTGAAAATTACTTTTTGTTTATTGTGCTGAAAGCAGACGATGGCAAGGCGCTAAGCTTGAAGCTAAGGCCAAGGAGTCCTGCAGGAGAAGGACTTGCCCCGCCCCTTAATCTTGGCCATTAACATTGAGTTGTTCTTGTTTTTGGGTTTCTTTTTTTTTTTCGTTTTGCCCTTGTTGTTTTAATAATTTGCTTCCTTAAAGCTCCACCTACACATGGCTCGTAAATATCCTTAGTGCGTTGGCCTCTTTTTTCTGGGGGGGAGGGAAGAACAATTGTTGTTTTCACACCATAATCATAAAAGGTACAAGCATAATTATTATTTTTATGTCTCTGGCACTTATTGTAAAGCAGCAAATTGCCTGACCACACATAAAATTCTACTCCCGGAAGGATCCAACGTGGGAGTCGTTCTTTATGATGAGCAGGACCTTCCGCCAGGAAACTGGAAAAGAGAGTCTGTCTGGTAGTATAGTATGTAGTTATAAGGATAGCGAGTGGCAAGTTGGCTGGGAAAAATTTGTAATTTTCGTCCTGTCCTCGCTGGCTAACTAATGTCCTCGCCCCGACGCTTCCTGCTCTCAGTTAGTGAATATTTATGATTGCCCGCCAGAGTGGGATAGAGAGAGAGAGAGACCGGAAGCGGAAGAATACAAGAGCATCCTTGGAACTCTTTCCTTTTCGTTGTTTCATATTCCTGAGGCTTTATTTTCGGGCACTTCTTAGTTCTCCTGAGAGGTTTATGGCCCAACTAAATTATAAAAGATATGAATGAGGCAACTATTTGGGGGATTTTATTTGGGAAAGAACAAGGGGAGGTAAGGATGGGCTAAAAACTACTTTTTGGTAAAATGAAATTCTCTTTAATTTTAGATTTTTAACTTATTTCTGATAGTAAATTATAAAATGCAAAGGTAATCTCTTTAATCTCTTTCTTCCTGCCACATAAATTACCCCCCAAATGAAATGCCAATAACATTGCTTAAAATTCTTTCCACTCGAAGAATAAATAAACTGCGCACTCCTTTCACCACCAAAGCCCAAAAGCATCAAGACTACAATGCCATCAACCCACTATGGGGCTTAGGAAATCATTCAATTGTGCAGGTAAATGGACTGCAAGCGACAGTCCAAGACCTCCGACCCCAGTCAGACCCATAAAAAAGGGTTAAAAGTCCTGAAATGTTTCACATACAATTGCACAAACTCGTAGCCCCTCAAAAAACAACGCAAAAAAAGAAAGAAAAATAACCAAAAAAAAAGAAAGTGAAAACCCGAAAGAACGCAAAAAAAAAGGTTGCCACGTCGTGGTCAGACTTAATCACTTTTATCCGGACCGAGGCCTTCGATGATTCGTAATCCTTTTAAATGCCCCTCTCGGGCAGATTTATTAGCTGCACGTGATAGTGGTATCCATCGACAGCAAAAAAAAACCGGAAAAATGGCCACGAAAATCATCAAAATCCACGCCCCGAAGCTCTCTTAATGCTAATTTATGGACGAGCTGAGTTCGCATGAGGAGCGCAACTTATTCATGAGCTGCCTGAAATATGGTTCCATTTAAATGTGTGTATACGACGAGTGTATATATTTCCTTTCGGTGCATTTTGCAAATCGTTGGGGGAATTATAAACTTTTTGCCTGGGTGGGGAGAGGGTATGGGGCAGCGTCAGCGGAAAAACCATTTTAATTAGTAAAAATCCTCACCAGCCAACATTTCGTATACGTAATATTTATTCTGGTCGCAAATTTTGGAATAAAAACTTGGGTGAGCTGGGTGGAAATTTGTGTTTCAAGAAGGGGTAGATTATGCAATTAAAAAAAGTGTATACCAAATAGGATTTTTAGTTTCCATTTAAGTGATAAAATAATTCTTAGAATTTTAACTCCTTCTCTTATTTTTAACTTTAGAGAACTTATGCCTTGTGAATCCTTAAAAGTACATGATTTTTATCATAATCTATCATTATCTTTCATCTATAATTTTTATACTAAGCCATTTTACCATCTGTAAGTCCCAATAATTTCCACTATTAAGATAACCCTCAAAATTTCGATAGATAAAAAAGAGTAAGATGGGGAAAAATTTGGCAAAATTATGGCAAAACTTTTCAACAGTTTTTGAACAATAAAAAGCAAATGGCGCTGGATAGAACTTGCCACCGGTCTGCCACGCCCCTCTCTCTTTGCATTCGACCCTCATTTTGTGTATGGAGGGAACCGCACATTAGTAGTTAGTGCAAGCAGGCGGTGTTCTAACTTTTGAATAAATACAATAAGAGAGGTGGAGGAGGAAAGAGAATGTCAGAGGATGGAGGTTCTCCCTGGGCGCCACTTTAGACAATGAAGCGTATAATGCTAAATATCGCTCTGGCAACCGCATCCAGCTGTCGTCCTTCGTTCTTCGTCCCGTTTATGGTGTCTCTTCCACCAACTATTCTGAATAATTTTGTGCGCTGCGCGGTTTGGCAACAATTGCTTTCATTATGGAACATTTTTTTGTTCGACTGGAGATGGGCAATGTGGTGGGTAACTTGGAGGGTGGGGGGGGTTTGGCTCCACCTTGGGAAACCCCTTGATGTTGTTACATCTACTCCTGCTGCTGTGGTTTCCGCTCTGCCGTTGTTTGTGCTTGTGTATTTTGTATTTTGTATCCTGCGGCCGCAGATACATTATCCGAAATTTGCATAAAATAAATAAATTAAATATGCCAGACATGCGGTGCGCTGTTGGTCGCCAGGAACAGACATTGTTGTTGCTCTGGACAAGAGCACTGAGAGGAATTTTTGTTTAATTTAGAAAATATTTCGGAAAATATATGCCCTTACAAGAAAACATTCCCGTAAATAAGGAAAGCAAAGAAAATTAAGAACAAATTTAAGGTAAAAGCAAAGCAAATCCATTTGCACATAAAAACCAATCTATTTTTTTATTAAGTTGAAATTTTGATCTATTAAACATTTATAATATTAATAAAGAGATAAAATATTTAATATTATAATTTTTTTTTTTAAATATTTCCCCCTTATTTCTAACAGTGTCCTCGATCTTGCTTCATTTCTTCACTTGGCCGTTCAAAGTTTTCATTTTATTATCACGCAGAACTAGAGAGCGGGTGGCGAAACGTTTGCCCCAAACGGTAAGGGGAAGAGGCATTGTTTTGCGGGGGAGTCTCGATGCTGGCCCATCGAACAGCTGCAGCATTTTTGAAGTTGTCCAGGAGTCCGGAATTCTCGGTTACTCTCCGCCCGAAAACGTGGCAAAAAGGCAGCCAAAGGATGCGCTACGTTGCGTTTGCTTGTCATGCTCCGTTGCGTGATTTTTGTCCACCCTCCTAGTGTCCTTGTGCCATCCCCCACTCTTTTATAGCCACCCCCTCCATCCACTTGGCCGCTTCATGCACGAGTTGTTGTCCTGGCTGCTGCTTTTTGGCATCCGCTGCCTCATAGAGCACATGGCTGTAGTCTGCGGCATTAACTTCATGCCGCTTCATTTTGTTGGGCATCTTTTTTTTCAACTTTTTTTTTTTTTTTGAAGCTTTGGCTCCCTGAAATGGCCGCTACAAAATTGGTTCGTTTGGTCGCCGAAGGCACTTAAATTTCCCTCTAGCGGCATTTGTTTTTGCAACTCCTGTTTTTCGGGTGGGCCCCCGTTGATGTTGATGAGGATGGTGTTGTGGCATTGGCGATGGCGGTGGGTTTGTTGTAGTTCAATTTGTGCGCTGCGGTTTAATGAAATTTAGTTGTTAGTTGCTGCACGTTTAGCTTTGCATAGATGTTAGCCCTCATACCCCCATACTTTTCAAAATGGTTCATGGCATGGTACCATGAACACCCGAAAAACCCAACGAACGAATTTTCAAAACGGATGGGCGGTCCATGGAGGCGTATACGTGATGTGGAATTTGTGTATGTTAAAGGGTAATTGTTGTGGGAAATGGGTCTACTATGAAGATATGGCTTAGCTGGTGTGGGGCAGAAAATTGGTCAGAGTTTGCTCTCTTTGTAGCTGATTGAAAGGATTGTGATATATGAGTGGGGAACATTGTTCATACGTGATGTGGGCTTTAAATTAATAGGGGTATAGTTAACATTTTATTTATAGTGAACGTGGAAGGAAAGATCTTAATTAGGACGTGAATTAGGTATAGTTCTTATTTGAATTAAGTTACTAAAAGAATTTAGCCAAAAAATTATCTTTTTTAATATGAAAAGTAACATTAGAGACTTGGCAGCAAATAAATTACGCATACGTATGGTATTTACTAGTGAAGATGTATGAACTTTCTTGTACATTTTCATAAATAAATAACTTAAATATGCAGCTACACATTAAAGGCGGAAATTGTGAATTAAGTACCGGAAATGTTCTTGTTAAGCACTCAACTTAAATGTTCTTCAAACATTGCTTGACATTTAATTTTTGCTTTGCATACTTTTAGGGATTTTAATTTGCTGCCATCACGGAAAATCTTTGTAAATATCTACATAGGCAGATGTAAAATAGAATATATATATGTAAAATTCTATAAAATTTATAAATAAACGAAATAAATCTTATTTAAAAGCATATTTCACATTTTATAATCACAATATCATTAACATCGTTAATAGTCAGTTCAACTTAAAAAGTAAAATATTTACATCAATCAAATTAACTAACCAAGTTAAAATCATTTTTTAAGGTTCAACTAGATTTTGTCGGGATATGCTAGTTGCTTGGTTTACTTCCACGGGCTCAGTGGAGGTCTCTATAGAGAGGAATTTGTTTATTGGCCTCCGCATTTCTGCGTTTTTTAAGCAGTTCCATTTCAAGTCGTGAGAATGGAACCTCAACAAAAAGATGCATAAATAGGGACACCAGCATAGTGATGCCAAAGTCAGACCAAAAGCGGAGGATCTACAATGAATATAAAACATAATTATTTTGCTAATAAAAGGGAAAACCTTAATCTACTCACAGCATCGTAATCTGAAAAGTGCAAACTCGTCTTAATGCGGGCTATATGAACCGTTTCCACCAGCAAATGCCATATATACAGACAGTAGGATAACTTGGAGATAGGTTGCCAGAAGGACCAGCTTAGCAGATCATTAACAACAGGAGCCAGACCATTCTGGCAAGCCCAGATGATCCAGCACAAGCCCAAAGGCCAGGCAATGCGACTCAGGCACAGATAGAAAGCCCCTGCTAGTGGAGAAATTTCATCGACACCATCTTGGGTATAAGGATATACAGCATAGATCACAGTGCCCAGAAGAGAGATGGAGAGGATCCACAGGATCAAAGCCAACCACTTGGGCAGACGACTCTTCCTTCCATTTCTGATGATGCAGAAAGTATCCAAAGAGCAGACCAATCAACCAAGGAGTGGCTCTGGCATGGGTGGTGTAGTAAATCAGGCGCATCTGTGGGCTATCACCTCCCAGGTTTCTGTTGATTTATATAAACATTAGTCTGAGTAATGCATGTTCTTATATAGAACTAAACTAAACTCACCCTTTTTTGACAAAAACATGCAGATCATTGAAGATTATTATACTGAAGACGCAGCCAAAGAGCAAAAGGATTAGGAGGACAATCCCTCCTACAGCCTTTTTGCCCCATTTGTAAAGGGCTATCAGAAGTAGCGGTGAAATAATATAAAGTTGCATGTCGACTGCCAGATACCAAGAATGACCCAGGCACTAGAAGATGCAGATAGATTAGATTTACGTTGAGTTGAAAGTAAGGACTCTAAGGACTACTTACCATCCTTCCAGGAGCTGCATAATTTTGCACATAGAGCAACGTTGCCCACCAAGTATCGCTGCAAAGATCCGATGAGCCAGTGAACTGCTGCCACAAAGGACCGCTATCCAATCGGTTAAAAAGCGTCATAAAGATGAGCACCGCCAAGGCCAAAACGGGAGTCAATCGCACCAGGCGGTGCAGATACATGAGTGGAACATGGAGACGTCCTTTGGTGCTAAGGATTAAAGGACATGAGTAATCTATCAAGGTTTGGAATACCCCAAACTCACCGGTCCAACTCACGAAGAGTGGTCAAAACCAGCAGCAATCCGCTTAGAAGGAAGAATGTGTCTACAGAGGTAGAACCGCTCTGCAAGACCATGGAGAAAGGGGTCTTGGCCCAGGCCACTATCTCATAAGCATTGATAGTGGGCGACAGTAGAAGGTACATATAGCCATGGCCAAGAATGATCCAAATGATGGTTAAACAACGAATGCCGTTCAGGCAGGGAATCACACGGGGTGAAGGTGTGTTCGATGTCTTCAGTAATTGGGGTAAGTTTGTGAGTAGGGAGAAGGATCCAAGGATCTTGTTGGAAACTATAGAAAGGTATAAAAAAAGAAAAGCAATTTGAATAAATGACTTACAAAGTGTATTGAAAGTTTTCCTTACCTCCGCCATATTCAAAAATTGTGGCTAGGAGTACCAAAACACACAATACGATTAGGACAGATCTATAAGAATAAAATGAAAGTTAGAATGGATTCACATAAGTTTTACATTTTTCTAAGTTTTGATATTAGCCATAAGTTCTAGTTTTCTATATTTAGTTTACTCGATTGCAGTTAAAACTAAACATTTATCTCAAACAATTTCATTTTTATCATCAAAGTCGACCTTAGCTTTTACTAACAACACATTCTGTTAGCAAACGCCACTGGCATTCAAAAACAAGTCTAAGCGCACACAACCAGTCATTCCACTGCATATTGCGTAAGTTTTAACCAAACAATGGGCGTGAGATACGATATTTACTATATACTTTTTGTTCATTATGATCTTTTAATAACTTACACTGCAAACCAGTCGAGCCCATCCATGGGATCTCTATGAGCCAAGGAGCAGTCATTTTCCTGCACCAAAGTAACTCCTGTAGAGTTCTCGCCAAACATATCCTCCAGATGTCCTTGGAGCCATCGATTGAGTTGGTCAGCACTACAGGAGGAAGGCATACAGGTTCCAATTCTTAGAGTGAGGGCAGCGGAACCCACTGATTCCAAAAGCAAACTCTCAAACTGTATATTGCTGAGACAATACTTAGATCCGGCATTGATAGTTACAGTACTTCCCAGACTTCGGCTAAGATCCAAACTAAGACAGGATTCATAGTTGCCCATGTCCACAAAGTGGCCATAGAGCAGGCCTTGCGGGAACTTTCCCCAGGCATCAAAAACTGTAAAGTAAAGTATGAAAAGTAAGTACAAGTGCACTTGATTAGGCAATTAATATAATCTCACCCCTCAGAGCTGGCAAGGATTTCTCCTCTGCTCCTTTTAGCAGCAATCTAACCTCAGCCAGACAAGAAGCCTCAGAAGCCGTCGAGGATTGGTTGTCATTCAAAGCCTGCTTTAGCACCTGGTAACCAAAGTTACTAGCCTGCATCCAGGTCAACAGATCCTTCGAGCTATACCCATGGGCATTGGGTAATCCTAATCCCAGAATCAACACCAGGATGAGGAGCGTTGAGCCCGAGCAGCTTGATTGCCTGAATACCATTTCTGTGTGAGACGGCCGTGACGATGCGGGTGATATTTATACTGGGCTAGTAAAACTCTTACTCTGGCTCACACGGCCGGCTGATATGGCTATTTCTAATCACTGGAGGAGGAGCTCTCTTGGCTGCACAAGTTGCTCGTGCAGCACTAGCTCTTTGATAACGCACCTTTTCGGGCAAAACTTTATAGGGTAGCACTTGGGTCTTACCAATTTCTATTACCTTTTTTTCTGCTGATATCTCAGTAGAGAGCGAACAGCGATCATTGCGGCGATCGCAAACAAATCGGTTGAATGACCGATATAGCAGCCAAATTAGATTCAATGCCAAACATATGATGGGGGATGTCGATGCGATGACGACGACGATGACTATTAACATTTAACTATTAACTTTTTTATCAATTCTCTCTGGCTTAATTGCAGCATCACGTAATCAGTGGAGTATATTTATATACCACATTCTCGTATACAGAATGAAAGGGAACTCCCCGTGGCCCATTGGCGGGTTAACACTTGACGATTGGGCCAATTACGTCAGTTTGTTTTATATTTCAGAAATGGGTCAACAACCGATAGCGGTTTCTGGCCAACAGATCACTTGGCGATAAAGCCTTAGTATACTACAATCGATTTAGTCGTCACTAGCTCAATCGGCCAAGTTGAAGTGGCTGGCTCACCTTGGCAATCTACTTGCTATTTGTAATAGTTCGGAGGTTCATATCGTAGGGTTATTGAACTGCCTGCCCTTGGAAAGGGCGAGACACTAAAACCTAATGCCGCTTGTTTTGTTTGACGATATATTATTGCGTAATAGCAGCCGCATTAATCAAAAGGCGATTCAAAATTTAAAGTATTTTTTACTCAGTCAAACAAAGTGGGTATTCCCAAGCGGCGCGAATTGTGAATCCGCTAAAGTACACAAAAACAACCAGTCTGGGGCACACTTTCACTGCTGGATCTCTGAATGCTCTTGTCACGCATTTTGCCGAAAATGTGGTTAGCAGAAGGCATCGACTTGGTGTTACCTGGTGTTTACAATATAACATAATTTTTCTTTTAATATTTAAATAAGTTCCTCTTTAAGTTCTTAAATATATATAAAATTTATAAGTAAGTTTTATTATATATTTAAAATATTTTTTTATATTTTTGTAACTTTAACAAAGTTTATTATGAAAACCTAAAAACCTCAACTCTTGATATTCAGCAAAAAATCTATAATTTGTAATTCATTATTTTGCTTACATTTATTATTTGAGTTAACGAACCAGTTAGTTGATTAAATTGCTTTGTGACTTCATGAACTTTACATTGTTTTCATTGCTTATCAAAAGTAAACAATAACAAACAGCCAACCTAATAGATTTCCTAGATTATTACAAGCGGTTGTTGATTAGGAGTGTGACTAAAACTACAAAGGGTTCCGTATATAAGTATATTAATTAAAATAAGTTGATTGAGAGAGATTAAGAAAGCCAAACAATAAATACATTTATTAAACGTTAATCAGCCAACTTAATGAGAAGTTGAGAGAGAGAACAGAGAGAGAGTTGAGAACAATAATGACCAAATAACATAAATTCATAGCAGGAGGGAATTAACAAATTTTTATAACTAGATAACTAGAGATCAATGCTAAATACTAATACTTTTAATACGAGTGCTAGTTACTGCCTTAGGACTCGAGAAATTTGGCATCCTCTTGTCCAGAGATCGGCTGGATGCCTTCGCTTTAGCGAAGAAGCTTAGTGGTTGGTGTGAGCTGTGAGACGATCGTTGTACCGACTCGAGGGCCTGTTTATCTGTTCCCAAATAGAGGGAATGTGGAGGTCATCTTCTAGGGCTTTATTTTTAACCCTTTGTACTTTCATGACGTTAGAGTCCGAGGCCAGGCCCCATAGTTGGATGCAGTACATCATAGAGGGCACCACAATGGATTTATACAGCAGCACTTTGTTAGCTAGGCTAAGCTTGCTCGTTGGCTTAAGCAACCAGTAGAGTTTCCTAAGCTTGGAATGACAAGTAGCTGATATTTTCAAAGCAAAGCTGCCTCCATGTGAGTCGCTTATCCAAAATGAGGACCAAGTAGCCAAAAAACCCTTGAGATGTGTTTAAATTCCTCAAAGAAATATCAGCTACTAACTTTTATTTAACTTTAATGTTGAAATATTTTTATGTAAACTTTTTAGGGCATCTCTTATTAAAAGGGTAATAAACTTTTCTTCCTTCCTTAAACTCTCAACTCACTTTCCCCGCAATCATTTTTAACTGGCTTATCAGAACATTAAAAATTTAATTAAATTCACCCATATGAGCGCCTGTAATTAAAACAACTTTAGCGGGGGAAAGTTGCTCAACTAAACCGCAAAAACAGTTTGGCGAAAGGACATAAACGTAATAGTAACTACGTTAATCCGACAGCTGAATATCCTGGCACTGAAAATCCCTGGAAATACATTTAACTCTTGCCTTGCGCTAAGTACAATGTAAACCGTTTTCCACATTCCACTACACACACACACACACACTCGGAAAACCCAAAGACAAAAACAGTTATGGGGGTGAATGTAGGTTGCAAGTAGTTAGAGGGGGTGGCAAGCCGAATTTCGACACATGTTGCCGCAATAAAAATGTCAACACACACATAAAACATCTTCTAAAATGGCATTTGCAGAAGGCAGCGAATTCCGAAAGACCAACTGGAAAGAAAAAATGCGAATATTTTTGAAGCATAATAAATGGAGCTCGGCGTGGGAAAGCCATCTCGTCTGAGAGGGGAAAAACTGAGCTCGGGAAATCCCCATCCACACGTGCTTAAAGCTCAGACATACACACAACACACACACTCACACACAATGCCGGCCATTAAACACGCATTCTTTGGCCATAGAAATTTATAGACCAGAAAGGAAAGACGACGACAGTGAAAGTGTGAGAGCTAGTGAAAGAAGAAGGGAAAGCTGGGAGATTGGTAAGCGGACTTGGAAAAACGAGAGAGGGAGTGCGAAATGTGTCGCGCATCCAGTCGCGAGTTTTACTTTCACTTTCGCCGGAACTTTCATTCAAGGACATGGAGCAGACAGGACCACGCCAGACACTAATAGCAAGCCCCGAAACCAAAGCGAAACATTCGGTTTTTTATATCCTTACAGAGGGTATAGTCGAGATATTGGTTAAGATAACTTTTCTTAGATATATTTATTTATAAAATATATATACATATATCCCAAAAAGTTGGGAATATCTCAGTTATTAAGTGGGAACTGTATGATAATGATTCATGAAAATATATTCCTAAGTAACTGCATTCTAACTTTGTAGGGTATTCCTAACGACAGGACTTCCTCTCTTCCTCAGTTCTTTTTAAAACAGCTAACATATTTTTAGTTTGTCACCCAAACAGATCTGAGACCACCCCCACTCCTCCCCCAAGAAAACCCTGAGCTGAATTTAAAGATGAAGTCGACAAAAAAAAAAAATGGAAACCTAGTCTGTGGGGGCAATTCGCCTTTAATGAGATAATCTGCGCTACTCGTCGTTATTTTACGTAATTGAAGGTTCACTTACAGCCAGGCTCCACTCTTGATTACCAAGTATTTTGGGGGGGTTGGGCATTGGGGATGCTGGCAACTGGGCGTAATGATAGTGGTGGGCCTGCAGCTTGTACGTGCGTGTAACTTTCCTTGAAGGGGGGGTGGGGAAGATGTACTCCTCTGTTTTTAGCCACCAATCCTCCATCTTGTCTGCATTTTTCGGTGGAGCTTCCTGGGATGGTAATCTGCAATAAATGAGGCATGTTGGAAGATTTATTTGATTGCTTTATTTAATATTTTAGAAAAGGCAGATGTTCCGCTACACCCTCTCAGCGGTATGGAGTGGAAATCAAGGGGGGTGGCTGTATTTTATTTTTTTTTTTTGGAGGGGGTTGACTTTAGAGCTGGCGTTGACTATGAATTATGACAGATATAATGAACAATATACGCATCTTGGGGGCAAAAATGGCAAAGGTAACCTTAGCTAAGGTGAAAAGCATTTCGAGTGTGTGTTGAAGGCAAATGATATATGATTTGGATATGAGAATTCTAAGGACAATAAGTTATGGCATGTGTGCCATTGTGGAATATTATAAGAAAATGGTGTGAAAAATCATTTAATTTATGAGAGAGAAAGGTGAGTGAAATAACCAAAAAGTTAGCCAAATGGTTTTCTTTTAAGAACTTTAAAAATGTTAAAGGAATCATCTTAAAGTCCCTTAAAGCTTTTACTATACATCATAATATCCCATAGTTGGACACTTTAAACCTGTTCTTAGCCCACCGAATCCCACCTTGAATAAATTTCCCATCATCAATTCTGATTAATCCCAAGTCCAAGGCGAGAAATCTCTGGTAGACCCAATTTGCAAAGGCTGCCCCCCGAAGGGCAATCCACAATTAAATGCTCTGCTCATTGCGACATCGTTTATCACTTCAACCGGAGTCCAGGGCCAGGGGTTTCCTCGGATTCCACCGATTCTCTAGGCTCTGTCCGCCATTATGGTTGCTTCATTACAAGCGATTAATTTTGATTGTTTCGACCAGAAGAGCAAGAAAAGAAAGTGCCCAATGAAGCACTGCAAAATTTCATCCTGAGAATCTTCCTTCTGTTGTTTTTCTTTTTTTTTTTTTTTTTTTGTGTTGTGTGGAAAAACCCTGAGAAAGGGCCATATTTCACCCAACAGGAGGCTGAGTGCGGATATAAGGACTGCGAAACTGTGACCGAAAATTAAGCACACAGAGCACAACTACACGAAAACGTAATAAAATCATAATCGTCGGATCAACACAGTCATCAGCGGTGTCACAACAGGCTACCAGGAGATGATGACGACCAGAAACCAAGGACCAAGGACCAAGGACCCAGAGACACCGAAGGATGCCACTGAGGGGGATGCAAAGGAGCAACAAGGAGCAGCGAAATTGCACAAGCAATTGCCAGGCGAAACTCAACGGTAATTACAGTAATAATTCAAAAGAGATTTGCCCCCACCTCATCCAAAAAAAAAAACAAAAAAAAAAGAAAGTAGTATGAAAAAAAAAGAACACTCCAGCCAAGGAGAAAAGCGAAGCTACGGA